TAAAATAAAGACTTTTTAGTATTATAAAAATGGGAATTGGGGCAAATGTGCTTAAACACAAAAACAGGCCTTTTTTATTTCATGTACAATAAAATATAATTTCTTGCTAAGTTTTGGTATGAAATATGACCCAGACATGTTCTTGCCAGGTTTAGTGAGTTTTGTGTATGTCTGTCCCTTACAGCCATGTTTTTCATTTCCCTAAATAATATGTCTGCATCCAATCCTACGGTCTGTCTGATAAGAGTGTATCAATGTCCTGTATGGCTTTGGAGGTTTTCTGCAGCGCCTCAGAGATGCAGTTCTCTGGGAGTTTGATCTCAGGTCAGTCAGAAGAACGCTCACAGCTCAAATATCTTCCTGTAGGATGCAGGACGGGACTGTTCTCCAACAAAACTGGTGGATTGTGTCAAAGAAATATCTACGCAAAATATCTACTGTTCAGCTTCCACACAAACAGAGTCACATAATCTCACAAAAAAGGATACAGTTATATCTTTTCCAGTTCAGAAACAACAGATCTGTGTAGGAAATCAGGATGAAATCAGAAATGTTGTATTCTACCATAAATAATCAAGTTTTCTGTGTAAAACTTTGTATACCAACAAACAAGATTGTTGTGGCCAGCCTCCATCCATTTCACTATACAGAAAAGCAAAATCTGGACATTAATATTTGCATTCCATGGAAAAACATACTTGTTTTGAATGACATTTCCAGGTGAACTATCCCTTGAGTGACTGATATGCATCTTCCAGGTCAAGTGATGCAAATGACTATAATAATAATACAAAATAATGATGCAGGGAATAAGAGTTCCTAAATACCTGAACGTTATTGGCCGAGGTGTGTCGGAATGGGCGGGGTCTGAGAGAGCCACACCCACTGCACTCATGCTCTGATCTGTCTGTATTTTACCAAGTCACACCACCGCACTACTGCAGACACGCACCTGAGAGAAAAACAAGGAGTTAAGGATTTTCATAAGCAGTTGGTGTATTGAATATTACATCATCTCTTTACCTTTGATAAGTTTGGTCTGTCTCAACTTGGAGAAGAGTTTGGTGCCTATCTGGCAAACTGAGCTGGCACCACCTGTGAGACGGTCTGGTTTCTGTCTTGAGTCAAGGTTGATGTTCAGTTGGGAGGTGGTGGAAGATACTCCTGCCCCTTTATAAACAGACAGGATACTCAGTGTTTTAGGAATAGTTTGACATCAGCTATCCTGTGAATCCTGTCTGCTGGTGTTTGATTTTGGTTTTGATGTGACCTGTATGCTTGTAAACCTCTCATCTCACCTGCTGGCCCGTGTGACGACAGATTGGACAGAATACAGCTGACCCGGTATGTCAGGTGGGAGACCACACAGGTAATACACACACCCCACAGCCTGAGAACACACCGAAATCAACTGTGTAATCTTCTGAATCACACAGCAAATGTATACACTCTACCTTTAATTCACTGAATGTCAAAGTGAACACATTACAGAGAGTTGTCTTGCATCTCTGTGAGCAGCTGCAGCTTTGTAATGTGTGAAGTAATTGGCTAGAACTCCATTAGATCTGATGACTGAACCATCACCAGGTGAGATCTCTACCATCGGTTTCACTCCATCTACTATACTGATAGAGATGAAATGAAAACATCATCAGTGTTAGGTCCCAAATAGACTTGATTTGTTTGATACTCAGTCCTTAAAGGGACAGCTCACCCAAAAATTGAAAATCCTGTTGTCATTTATACCCTCATGTTTTTATAAATTTGAATGAGTTTTCCTTTTTCTGCTGAAGACAAAAGAAGATATTTTAAAGAATTTTGGCAACCAAACAGTTGCCTGTAGCAACTGACTTCCACAGTATGGGAAAAAAATACTATGGAAGTCAATGGTTCCAAATTAATGATCCATTCTTTTTGGGGGGTTTTGACTGGATAATGTACTTAATGTGCTAAATGTTGTTTTAACCACCTATCATTGTCTTCAAAACGTTATTAGCTTATTAATGGCATTTAAGATGATGTAATGGGTAGTGGTGCTAATGTATGATCATGAAATGAATCCGCACTCACCGGTATATGATGCCTTCGCACCAGACCACTTTCAGCAGCGACGTCCTCTTCCTGTTCCAGCAAATCAGGATTCACAGTGTCATATCGCCACCTCAACATCACATTAGCATGCTATGAGTGCGGACAACATACTAACACCATCAAACACTGATTTTAATTGTAGTTTTTCCTATGAGAATAAATATGAGGGGTGAATCTCCCTACAGCCAGGTCACATTTCACTCTAAAATAAATAAATTAATAAAAATATATACAATTTATTTTCTTTGAGAGAAAATACATATTTTTGTTTGTTTTTGTTTTCTTGACAGACTGAGATTCATGGTGACCTTGCAGATACTGCGACTCGACCGGCAGATAAAGTCCACTGTGAACTCTTCTCCAGAAGAGGAAAGGATGAGTTTGGCATGTCCATCTACAGAGCAGACTGTGATCTCTCCATGCGGCCCAGCGGTGCAGGAGTCAGACCCAGGCCACTCCACCTCAGTTATGGCACTGGTGAATGGCTGCAAATCAGCACTTGGTTAAGCAAATAAGCATAAATGAGAAATTAAGCGGGGCTGACATGATTTCAGAAATAAAAGCAAACCTTACTGCAGCTTTATGACAGTCTAACCTTGTTGAATTCCAGTTATGAGCTCCTCGGGCAAATATGGATGAGTTGCATACTTGTTTCTGAAGGCCAAAGCATTCAGTACCAGTGTCTAAACGAGAGAAAACAAATAAATTATGTATCTTTTATACTATGTACCCATATTTACTGCAGTAAACTGCTTTAGTCAGACAGACAGATATATGGTTAGATACTCGGGTGTGCAGAGGGTGACATGTGTTTCTCTATCATGAACTCAGACCCGCAGGTGAGAGCTGCAGTCTGCGCCCGTCTGAGTAAAACACATCCACAGACATGACCATAAACCTGAGCGAACACATGACTCACTAACACGAGACAGACAGCGCTGCGGTGACAACTCAAACCAATTACATAGTCCTTTGACTGCGAATGTCTAAACTAAGATCACTGAAGCAACACAAACAAATCCCACAGTCTAATTGTTGTTGTTGATAGAGTCGACCGATTCGTGAATGGATCGTTCTTGCGAGTCGGGTCTTTTGAATGAATCGTTCTTGCGAGTCGGATCTTTTGAATGAATCGATTGAACTTGTTGACAACACCCGGAGGGACGAAAAATAGCAACGAGACAATACGATTTGTTTGTTGGTTTTAGTAAAAAGCATTACATCATAACGTGGGAAAAAAAACTCCTTGAAAACTGAATTTTATGTAGTTTGTAATGATTTTTATAAGCTGAATCAAACTGAACTCGGACACAAAATTATCACGAACGTCTTTATTAATTAAACTTACTCGGGAAAATAAAACATAATAAACAATACGTGTATCTAGATAAAAACTTTGGGATGTCAGTACCCAGGTGATCCGTATCTTTGAAAGGACTGTTCAAAAGAACCGATTTGCAAAAATGACTCGGACTTCCCGTCTCTAGTTGCCATGGTGCAAATTTTCGCGGTTGATGAAGAGAATGGCGCTGATTGGATGAATCACTTCTTCTACAGTGCTCTTAAATCTGCAAAGATTCAGCTCTGGCAAAGAGGAAGTTCTTTGGCTCTGGCAAGCCGAGATAACATGGATCAAGATTTGATTCAGATGGTTTTTGAGTTTATCTTACGAAGAAATATACTTATTTTTTTCTTTTATTTCACATGTAATTAATTAAAATGATGCCGGTATTAGCACACACAAATATACATAAGTATAAACAGTGTTGGGGGTAACGCAAGTTACGTAATCAGATTACTTTTTTCAAGTAACTAGTAAAGTAACGCATTACTTTTTTATTTACAAGAGAATATCTGAGTTACTTTTTCAAATAAGTAACGCGTTACTTTTTTTTTTTTCCACAAACAAGCAAGCCCTGTCCAGATTTAAAAAGTAACGCAAAAGTAACGTAACGCATTACTTTCCATAAAAAGTAACGAAGTAACGTTATTAGTTACTTTTTTATGGAGTAACGCAATATTGTAATGCATTACTTTTAAAAGTAACTTTCCCCAACACTGAGTATAAACAACATGAAGCGATATTAACATTGTTAATATTTTTGCATTGACATTTTCAGAATTTTTTTTACTTTATGTTAAATATGATTTGCTTAGTCTTTCTTTTTTATTATTATTTTGGAGTAAATTATGACCCGGATGTTCAACCCTTTATTTAGCTTGTTGCATATAAACACGTTTACTGAATATCAGTTTTATTAGAAAGGTATTGAAGTGTCTATATGATATCACTGGTCAATTTTAAGTAATTCCAACTTGTCTATTTTCTTCTGTTTTTGTCAGTTTTACAAAAGCCATAGAATTAAGGTCATAGTTAATTTGATATTACACTGACCTAAAACAGGCTTTAGTTCACTGGTCAACTGGGGATTCTATGCTTGAAAAGGTTACCAGATTGCAGAACAAGTTGGACAGCATCTCATCTAATGATTCATTACATGGGGAAAAAAATAAAAACCGCTCAGTTCACTTGGATTCCTATGAAATGCAAAGAGACCGTGTTTTTATAAAGATTTATTGCAGGCAAACAATGCAGTAAATAATATTTACAGCTGTAGTAAAATAAACATTCCTTTATATGGGATCCATGAAATGTTGGTGATGAGAAAAGTTCTGTAAATTACAGTGGCGGATGAATCTGTATAAACTCCCAAAACCTCTTCTGAGCTTTTCCTCCAAACTCATACACTTTACATACGTGGAAACTTTATTCCTGCATTCCAAAAACCAAACGGACTATAAAGTCAGGGCTCCTTTTTCTTCAAACATGTGCATAAATTGAAAATCTAAAAAGGTTTGAGGAGAATCTGATAAAGGAAGAACAGAAAAAATGGTATTTTCTTAAAACGTTTTTGTCTTTCTCCCTGTGCTCTTCGACTCTACATGGCAAAGCCTTGAGGAGTAAAATGCAAAACCCAGTTTCTCCTACATTTAGTTGGATATTGAGCAGTTAGTTCGCAAACAAGCCACACTTAAACTTGATGATGCTACTCTTCGGCTCATATTAAAATCTCACTGCAAACTTTTTTGGATTTTTTGGTGGATTTTTGACAAATCAGAACACGCATAAAATAAACCTCACAAACCAAATGCCAAACCAAAGGCAACTTGATGGCCTGACGGACTTGCCAATTATGCTGCATTACAACTAAACCGTAATCCCAGCCATTAAATCCAGTGACATTGTAGCCAAGAAGTGCTTGTTGAGAATTCAAACGAAAATCAACCAAAACATTCTTGGTTTTGCCGCTCTGAAACATTCCAGCTGGTCAGGTGTGTTGTCAACATGACCATCTCACAGTCTCTCATTTCTTTCTTCTTGCGTCCGACTCCATGCAAAACCTCTCAAACGCCTCCTCGATCTCCGGATCCATTTCATCTTCATCACCGCAGAAGCTGCAACATAGAAGCATTCCTTCATTATAAGTGTATGGAAGCTTGTTTCCCACCACAGGATGAAAAAAATAATTGCGACTTTCTATCTCACAACTCTGACTTTTGCTTCCTCACCATTCTAAGTTTATATCTCACAATTTTGACTTTTTTTTCTCCTTGCAATTCTGAGTATATATATATATATATATATCTCACAATTTTGAATTTGTCAAAACTGTGAAAAGAGCAACTCAACGTTGAGATATAAACTTAAAATTCGGATAAAAAGTCAGAATTGTGAGATGTAAACCCTCAGTTGCAAGAATAAAGTCAGCATTGTGATATAAAAAGTCACAATTACTTTTTTTTTTAAAGCTGTGGCGGGGGAAAAAAACTGAATTGTGAGATGTGAACTCAGAATTGCAAGACAAGAGTAAAAAAAAAATTGGTTTATGTCAAGAAAAAAGTCTGAATTGTGACAAAGTCACATTCAAAAATGAAATAAAATAAATAAATTTGCATTTAAAAAAACCTGCAAATTAAAAAAAGGTAAGTGTGACTTTTTGCGTCACAATTCATACTTTTTTTCTGTCATATTATATTGAATACAGAAAGTACTTTTATTCAGAAAGGATGCATTAAACTAATTATAGCTGCTGACATTTCAGCTTTTCTTACTTTAAAATGACAATAATACCCAATATTACAGTTTTTACTGTATTTTTAATCAAATGCAGCCATGGTGAGCAGAATAGAGTCCTTTTAAAATATGAAAAATCTATATAAGCAAAAGCTTATATTTACATGAACTTTTCCTTGAATCTGTGCATTTGTCTAAATCATCAACATTATGAATAAAATATAAATAAACTATGAATTTCTGATTATGTTCATGCGTTCCTTTATTATGAGTGGCTTATTTTAACTGTGTTTCTCATACTGCATCTTTTAAAGGGGTCATATGATGCGATTTCAAGTTTTCCTTTCTCTTTGGAGTGTTACAAGTTGTTCGTGAATAGATAAGATCCCTAAAGTTGCAAAGACTAAAGTCTCAAACCCAAAGAGATATTCTTTATAAAAGTTAAGACTCGTCCATGCCCTCCTAAAACGCCTCGTTTAAACACGCCCCCACATGTCTACGTCACTGTGTGGGAAGATTTGCATAACGCTGCCCAAATGTTCACGCAAAGAAAGAAGGCGTAACTTTTATTCTCGCTGTAGTATTGCTGCCGCCGCCGTGTCGTGGAGACGCTGTTTCATTGCGAAAGCGAAAATACTTTGTTTGGCCTTCCAAAAGGACACAACTAGAAATCAGTGGTTAAGTTGTATTTACAA